GTTACGATCGGTTTTCCCTTGCAAAAAAAAAAATAAGCTAAAGTGGACATTTCTTGTTCTAACATAACCAAACTTCAAGAATCCCTTGCAACAAATAAGGTAAAGTGGACATTCGCGCGCGCAAGACGAAATCCTTCCAAAACCTTAGTTTTCGTAGCGATTTTAACATAAAAACATCAAAAACCGATGGTTTTTCAAACAAAAAAAAATCAAATTTTCATCCCGCGCGCTCTTGCGGATTCGTAGGAAACCCAACACTTTTTAATCATTTCTGTCAAACGGGCTTTTGCGAGCAACTTTTTCGAACTTCTGCAACAACGGTTGCGCACCTGCCAGGGCCATCATCCCTGTCAAATAATACCATGCGGGACACATTCGTTTTTTCTTCGCGCGCGCACGCCGTCGTCGTCGGCCGCGGGGCCCTGAATAGTAGCCACGGTCGTCCGCATGCCACGAAGTGAAGTGTCCGAACGTCATAGGGCGGGAAGCTGGGTGTGGGTGGTGGCGAAGAGTCGTTTGGAAATTTGGTAGAGCTTGAACCGGCCCCCCCACAAAGTGGGGGTATTGCCCGCCTCCTATGAAAACCCTGGCACTGGTGAGAACGGAGTGTCCCCACGTGCTAGTAATTGTTGTTGTTGTTGTTGTTGTTGTTGTTGTTGTTGTTGTTGTTGTTGAACATTATTACTTCTAAAGAATAATTATTGTTGGGGCCCCTGGTGCACGACCCCCCCGCCGCGCCTAGGCCGCAGCCACATTTTCATCATTTTCGTGAGGAAGTCTCAGGCAAAACGGGTTGGTCCGGATCCGGTTGTTTTGTTACGGCCCGCTTTCCCTTGCAAAAAATAAGCTAAAGTGGACATTTCTTGTTCTAACATAACCAAACTTCAAGAATCCCTTGCAACAAATAAGGTAAAGTGGACATTCGCGCGCGCAAGACGAAATCCTTCCAAAACCTTAGTTTTCGTAGCGATTTTAACATAAAAACATCAAAAAAAACAATGTTTTTTTCAATAAAAAATGTCAAAATTTCATCCCGCGCGCTCTTGCGGATTCGTAGGAAACCCAACACTTTTTAAACATTTCTGTCAAACGGGCTTTTGCGAGCAACTTTTTCGAACTTCTGCAACAACGGTTGCGCACCTGCCAGGGCCATCATCCCTGTCAAATAATACCATGCGGGACACATTCGTTTTTTCTTCGCGCGCGCACGCCGTCGTCGTCGGCCGCGGGGCCCTGAATAGTAGCCACGGTCGTCCGCATGCCACGAAGTGAAGTGTCCGAACGTCATAGGGCGGGAAGCTGGGTGTGGGTGGTGGCGAAGAGTCGTTTGGAAATTTGGTAGAGCTTGAACCGGCCCCCCCACAAAGTGGGGGTATTGCCCGCCTCCTATGAAAACCCTGGCACTGGTGAGAACGGAGTGTCCCCACGTGCTAGTAATTGTTGTTGTTGTTGTTGTTGTTGTTGTTGTTGTTGTTGTTGTTGTTGTTGTTGTTGTTGTTGTTGTTGTTGTTGTTGTGGTCGTCGTTCTGTGTCGTTGTCGTCGCCGGCGCCCTTGCGTTCGCGCCCGCGCGGGCCCCACTGTTGGGGGGGAGCTCCCGCCTGGCACTTCCTCGCAAGTGGCCCGCAGACGAGGCCCCCGCTCGAGACTTCCCCCGCCTCCATGCCTGAGGAACCCAAGCGACGACAGCTGCAGGCTTCAGGGCGACCTGTCCGGAGGGGGCTCCCGCTCGAGACGTCCCCCGAGGTGAGTGGATGGCGCGGCGATGATGGCGACAGTGGCAGTGGTGAGTGCGAGACCATGGTGCGGCGGTGATCCGCGTGAGAATGCGGCGCGTGCGCGCGATGATGATGATGATGATGATGATGATGATGATGATGATGATGATGATGATGATGCTGATGCTGATGCTGATGCTGATGTTGATGCTGATGATGCTGATGCTGATGATGTTGATGCTGATGTTGATGCTGATGCTGATGATGATGATGATGCTGATGATGATGATGATGATGCTCATGCTGATGCTGCTGATGATGATGATGATGAACACGATGATGATGAACACGATGATGATGGTGATGGTGATGACGGTGAATGGTGATGCTGTTGTTGCTAATTGCGAAGATGAGTGCGATCGCAGGTGGCTGATGAAGATGACGGATATGATGGTGATGCTGACATCGCGGCGTTGGTGATGACGACGACGATGACAGCGACGGCGAACAAGAGAGCGGCGAGGAGAAATCCTTCGCAATGTGTGCGCATTGAAAACAATAACCCCACTTTGGAAGCGGGGAGGAAGCCCAGATAAGATGTGGGGAAAACGCATGGGTCTGCAACGTGGTAAAACACATCGATTTTCAGCATGTGCGTGAAATGCAACAAGCGGGCCGCTCGCGCGCAGGTGCCGAAATTATTCGAAGTCCGTTGTGCGCTTGTTTCTCTGAGGGGGGGGGGGGGCGCGATCTCTGTCGCATAACATCGCGCTGTCCGTTCGCACCCGTCGTCCGCGCGCTTGCGCCGGAGCCAGTCCAGAACCCTCATCGCCGAGACGCGGCCGTTATCGTCGCCATTGGCGTGATCGGCATCGGCGCCGTAACTGGCCTTGCCGTCGTCATGGTCATCGTCGTCGCAGGCGCCGCTGCTATCATCGTCGCGTCTGTCTGTGTCGGCGTCGCCGCGATGCCGCGCCCGCCCGAGTGACCGACTCGCACAGAAGTGCCCGCGCGTCTTCGTGGCGTTCGAGACGCGCTGGGAAGGTCCCGGCGGTCAGCGCCACCGCGGCTGCGTCGGTCGCGCCAGACTAGCTGGCCGTTTTGCGCGAGAGCATGTGCGCGCTAGCCGCTAGCGCGGTCGCAGAGATGCGCCAGCCAGTGCCGAGCAGTCATCGCAATCGCCGCCGCATGGATTTGCAAACCAAGTTGAGGGTAGGCGGCTGGGATGATTGCGCGAGCAGTGGAGCCAACCACTTCAAGTTCGGCGCGGGTGGTTGCACCACACAGGCTGCGCCGCATATACTGCGCCCCGTAGATAGCATGACACACAATTTAGATGGCACCACATTGAACCGCATGATTTGCGCGCCGCATCGATGCCCCAGTCTAAAATAAATATAGACTCACCCCCCCCACCCTCCCGAATTATCGGTCTTTATGGGCGTTGCAACGTACGCATGATAGTGCTCCATCGTTAATGTTAAACTTCACTCGTATCATCCCAGGGAGTGTACTTATCGCCCCCCGAATCTTGTCAAAGTGTACTGTGCGCGCACTATTGTTATCACAAACTATTAGTTTCCAAGAGCCCCTCGCCATTGATAAAAAAGTCCGTACGCGCGCGGCGTCGCGAGCGCATTCCAGATCGATTCAAACATTGTGTGTTGCCTTTGTGTTCTTTCTGTTGTCTCCCAAGGGTTTCCAGATCGGTGTATTTGCAAATCTATTAAAAAAAACAACAACAGTGTTTCAACATGTTCTGCACATGCGATCAAGCGGATTTCCCGCGCCGCATGCCAGAATCATTCGAACGTACTCTCGCGCTTGTTGGGGAGGGGAGGTCGCGACCCTGGCCAAATAAGACCAGGCGGGCCACTCGCGCGCGTCGGCCGCGCGCGCATATCGAATTCCATCCGACACTTCCATCACCGACACCATGATCGCCATCTGCGTGACCAGCATCGGTGCCGTCATTGGCCTTGCCGTCGTCATCGTCATATTCGCCACCATCATCGTTACTATCATCATCATCGGTCCCGCCGTTGTCGATACAGCAGAGACGCGCCAGCCAACTCCAAGCACCGATCGCAATCGCCGCCGCTTGGGTTTTGGAGGCCAGGTTGCGAGTAGGTGAGCATTAATTTGCGTGAGTCGCGGAGTTGTGAATTTCAAGTTCTTCGACATAATATGCACCATGTAAGTTGCATCCCGCAGCTAGCACAACATAGGCTACTCAAACTATAGTGCACAACTTAAGGCGCATCATGGATATTCCGCAACATGTATTGCTTCACTAACATTGCACACCGCGCATTGCTAGAACACCGTCCGGGGACCACGATGGCCAACATATGGTGAATCCAAACCAGTGTTTTGATACATGTTGCTGAACACCGCTTCAGAACCGATGTGTGCGACATGGGCGCGCGCGCGTGTGGACCGCATGATATGATGCAAGTTGCACCCTTCCAGGGCTCATGCCATGCGTGTGTCCACAGTGGTTATTGGACACGGATGACGGGGTGGTGCCAATACCGTTCAACCCGAATGGAACGATTCAATCCGTTCGAACAGAAGGTTGTGGATAACACATAGGGGCCGCAACACGAGACGCGTGGCGCTGAATTCCGACATCGGCATGGGGGTAGTGGCGAAGATTCTTGAACTAGAATCTGCGGGTGCAATCTGCGTTCTGGCCCTCTCATGGGTTTGGGCACCATTGGGTGGGAGACTTTTAGATCGGATTTTGTATGGTAGGACCCTGTTGGGTGGGACCCTACAGGGTGGATCCTTGATGGGGTGGGATCATACGGGGTGGGGCCCCATGGGGTGTGAATTTGTTGGTGCTGAACTCTACTTAGGAAGCTGGGCCCTATGCGGTACCACCTTTGTGGGATTGGGCGCTAGTTGCAGGGAACTGCCGAGCACGTCCCCGCATCTCGGCATTTGAGGTCAACTCGCTACAAGTAAAAATCCTCAGCGCAATCACGCTTAATGGGGACTTCTGGCATTTTGCCGAGTGTCAAAGGAATCGCATTCTCCAAGCGATGGCCCGCGGGCGCTTGTGTCGAGGCGTCATCCTTCGACAGCCTCTCGGCGCGCGGCTGCTGCCCGCGCTGGCTCTTGTCTACCGCCGCCCCCCGACGGGCTGGCCTTCGGGCTGGCCCTCCGAGTTCGAACACGCTCGGGTCGTCTCCACGGTGCGCTCGCGTGTGTGTCGATCTCGTTGTGGCCTCGCACTTCTCTGCAGGCGTGCGCGCCGCGCTGGGCGCCCCGGCCCACAGGCGGACAGAAGCCTTCCCGGGACGCTGCTCGAGACGATGCAGCGTTGCGGTTGGACCAGGAGAGACAGCAACACGGCAGAGAGGGAGGCGGGTACGTTCTTCGAGACGGCGGCAGCGCTGGCTGCACGATTGTGGTAGTTCGTGCCGCCGCCGATCGTGTTGCCAGCAACGCTGGCAGCGTCGACGGCGACACCGGTTGACGAGAACCGACGTTACGCTAAGATCGACGATGACGACAGTGCGGGTGACGATGACAAAGTTAGATCAGGGCGCTTGCCCAAACGAGGAGTGTTAGGGTACTAGACGTCGCTGGGAGGGTAATTGTGCCATTCGTGGGCGTATGTCACCGCATGTCGATGTAAAGGGATTTTGCCTGACAAAGCGAGAAGTCAGAAAGGGCCTTCCACATGTTGCTGGTGACTTGACCTTGGCGGCGGGACTACCCCGCTCACCGCTCTCCCCATCCCGTCATTGATTGCCTTCACCCGCTCGCCGTCAGTTAGACGTCAACGATGTACCTTGCGCTCCTTTCCCTTCCCTCCCCTCCTCCGCCGCCCCCCCCCCTCTCTCATCACCCCCTCCCTTTCTCTCCCTCTCGTCCACCCCTTACCTCTTACTCTCTCACCCCCTCTCTCATCACACCCTTCTCCACGCTCCTTTCCCTTTCCGCCCTTCCATTTGCATTCTTCCCGCCATGCGCAGACTCCTCTCCTCTCCTCCCCCTCCGTGCCCCCCTCCCCTTCTCTCGCCCCAGCTGAGAGGTCATCGGGAGCAGTCCAGAGACATGGCTTCGAACAGGAAGAAGACAGCAACGTTGCTTCGACCATATTCTCCCTTTCCAGTTTTGAGCCCAGGTCTTCGGTGCACCTGAATTGGCACCGACACTTCGACCAAATTTCCCAGCCCCAGCTTTGAGCTCAGCCTGTTGTGTAGCAGCCAACAGGCAGGGTGTGATCCGTAAATGTGCTGGCTCAGTATGGCATTGAGAAGTCAGGTCGATAGCAGCTGAAACTCTGGAGCACCATCGTTATTCCATCCACTCTTCCTTGATCATGAGGTCTCTTTCTGTTGACGTCTGTGCTGAGAATCCGACCTTGGTCAAGGATTCGGAGGTCAAGGATCCAACACCCCTCAGTTTGTAGTGTTTCTCCTTCCCCCTCCACCCTCTCCCTCCCCTTCCCCATCCCGCCCACGCCCCTCCCCCCATTCTCTTCTCCCACCCTCGTCTCACCTCTCTCCTGGTCCCTCCCCTGCCCCTCACCTTCTTCCCCCGCCCCCCCTTCCCTCGTCCCTAACAATCGAAAAAAAAACAGGCAAGTTCGTGAAACATCACGGCCAGAGCCACAAATCATGCGCCATGTGTCTAGCCGGATCGATCTGCGAGGATCCCCTGGGGCCCGAAACGGGGCGAAAACGCCAGGTGTGAAAGAATTGCGGCGCCAGGAACTCAGTGTCCCCCTCTCCTCCCGCCACCCCCTTCCCTCATACCTACCTCTCCAGACTTGCTATGTCTCCTCCTCCTCCTCCTCCTCCCCCTCCTCCCCCTCCTCCTCCTCCTCCTCCTCCTCCTCCTCCTCCTCGCCCTCCTCCTCCTGATCTCCTCCTCCTCCTCCTTCTCCTCCTGGTCTCCTCCTCTTCATCCTCCCCCTCCTCCTGGTCTCCTCCTCCTCTTCCTCCTCCTCCTCCTCCCCCTCCTCCTCCTGGTCTCCTCCTCCTCCTCCTCCTCCACCTGCTCCTGATCCTCCTCCTCTTCGGTCCGCGGTCCGATGAAGTCCCGACCCTTTCCCCGAGTTATTTTTGAGAGTCCCGGGGCCCGGCGAGGGCCTCTCGGGGTCGAAAACAGCCGACAACCTCCCGTTTTTGTTTTACGGTGCGAAGATTCAGAGGAGGAAGAGGATATGAGGAATCTCCAGGGCGTCATTTCGGCGCAACGCGTCACATTCGATGTGCTGTTCCTTGTGATCTGCAGGCCTCCCCAAGGAGGCAGGACTGGCTTTGACTGAGGCGCCCAAAAGCGAACTGAAGGCTGTGGTCTTGGCGACGCCCTGCTTCAGGACAGCAAAGGGCCCATCGCAGTGGCCAACTACATGCTCGCCCCCCAGATTTGTTTGTTCTACGATGCGAGCATGCCCTGACCTTCCAGGAGGGCTAAAAAATAGCACCCGACGTAAAAACCGATCCCAAAGCTATTCTACGTCTTGGTTTTAGGCTGCTTCGCTGAGTCTTTTAGGTTTTTGGGCCTCCAGTGCTAAAAAAAAGCTCTCTGGAAGGTCAGGGTGTCTGGGTCTCCCCCTCCCCCCGCCCTCCCCGGACCCTTCTCCTCCTCCTCCTCCTCCTCCTCCTCCTCCTCCTCCTCCTCCTCCTCCTCCTCCTCCCTCCCCCTGGTCTCCTCCTCCTCCTCCTCCTCCTCCTCCTCCTCCTCCTCCTCCTCCTCCTCCTCCGTCTGGGTCTCCCCCTCCCCCCGCCCTCCCCGGGACCCGGCCCAGGAGGAGCACGGTCCCCACGGCCGAGGAGGCGGCCCGGAAGCCCAGCAGACCGCGGGGGGCCCGGGCCCGCCCGAAGAAGGGCGAGAAGAGCTCCCGGGCGCCTCCGGAGCCGGAGTCGGAGCAGGCCCCTCTTTGACTCTATATGGGCCTCCTGGATGGTGTCCGAGCAGACGGGGTCGGAGACCGCGCCGCATCGCCGATGCGTCGACGATGCGGCTCGATGTGGGGCCCGTGTTGCCCCACGCCGACGTCACGGATGCATCGCCGACGCATCGCCGACGCCTCGGCGCTGCAGTGGCGATGCGGCGCGATCTTTCGACCCCAGCTGCTCGGACCCCATCTAGAAGGGCCCCATCTTCCATCCTGCTCTGCTGCTCCCGCTCCTGGTCCTGCGGGTCCTGCTCCTCCTCCTCCTCCTCCTCCACCCGGCAGCTTCACGCAGGAGCGGCCGGTCGGCGGAGGGACCCTGGGTGCGGGCACGCCGGTGTCGTACGATCGCCGAGCGCGATGCGGCAGTGGCGTCTTGCGCGCTCGGGTTCTGGCCCCTCGGGGGCCTCCCCGCGACTCCGCGCGCGCCAGGGGTCGCTCTCGCCCAGGGCCACTCCCTGCGCCCCGCCGAATCGCCCCCTCGTCGGAGGCAAGGTTGGGGTTCTCGAGCGCGTGCGTGGGCTCCGAGAGGTCTTCGGTGCTCGCAGCGGTGTCCAGCAGCCGCGCCTCGTCGAGGGCGTTCCATGCCATGCAGGGGCGCCCAGGTCGTCCCGAACGGCTGCCGGAGAGCCGACGTCTGGGCGGGAGTGGCTCAGTCAGGGGTGATGCGTCGATCCCGAGTCTTGTGATGTTCCAGCCTACTGTACTTTAGCCTCGACCGCGCGAAAAAAATTCGCGAGCACCAAGGAAGTACCGAAAAACTCGATGGCTTTCGCGCACCGGGCCCTATGGGAGGCACTCTCCCGACACTGTTTCGACACTCTGTCGACACTCTTCCGGGCGCTCGAAATCATGTCTGGGATGTGATCCTGAAGTACGACGGGAGCAGCATAACCCCAGTCGCCCGTGCATCGCCGACGAGGGCGCGACAGGCGGCCACACCGTCCAGGAACGTGCGGCTTCCCTATCGGGGGCCGTTCGCCGACGTCTTGGCGACGCACGTCGAGCCGAGGTATGGGCGGGAATGGCTCGGTCAGGAGTGATGCGTCGATCCCGAGTCGCCCATGGATCGCCGACAGTGGCGCGACCGCAACATGCTTATACTATATATGTGCGTCGCCCCCCCAGGGGCGACGCGCGCACCGAGAAATCTCGTAGTATGTGCGTCGTTGCGGGCGCGTTCCGGCCACGCCGCTCGGGAAACGATACACTACCAGATGGGTATACTACATGTTCGGGTCGGACGCGCGCCTCCAAGGAGGACATATAGTGTTAGTATGTCTCTGTGCGTCCCAGACAGGGGCGCGACAATGGGCGGACGTGGCGCAAGACCATGACGAGTGGATATCCCACCGCAGAGACTGGATGATAAATGTGTTGGGTGCAGGGGCAGACTCGACTTTATGTGGCTCCGTGTGAGGTGCACCGAAGCAGTATGAGTGTTGGTGAGTTTTGCGACGCGTTGCAGCGATTCTCCTCGTCGTTCCCTTTTCCTCCGTGATTGTGCGATGCCGACGGTAGGAGGGCCACCCTCACAGGCATTGCTTCCAGTCCAGTCAGTCAGGGGCGCGACAGGAGGCCACGCCGTCCAGGCACGCGCAGGTGCGGTGGCGGGGGCCGTTGTTCGCCGACGCCTGGGCGACGCAGAGCGCCGCTGCCAGGGCAATGGTGGTTCCCCCTCTCTGAGCTCGCCCGCCCCTGTCGTTCAGCTGCGCTTCCTCCCTAGCTCCTCCTCCATCATCCTCCTCCCTCCTCCTCCTCCTCCTCCTCCTCCTCCTCCTCCTCCTCCTCCGTAGCCATTTTGGCTCAAGATGCCAAGCAAGGGGGGGCTCCGCGCCTCCGTGCCAAAACGGATAGCTCTAGTCCGAGCCATACCCCGATCCTTTCAGGGCCACGATCCCGACAGCCACTGCTTGTCGGTACAAGCCCTTGCTCTCTGCCACATTACACCATGGGTTTCACGAATGGGTGCAAGCAGCCATTCACGGTGTGCGGGTGCGGGCAGTGGGCGTTCAACTTCAGGATCGAGCGCAACAATGGGAAGTGCATCAAGTGCGGAGCCAAGCTACAGCTGTACAAGCCGCAGGGAGGACAAGGTGCTGGCAACGACGTCGCTGCGGGATCGCCGTGGCGCGAGGGAAGGCAGGGCCGCCGCTGGGGCGGCAACGGCGGCAACGGCGGCACCACTCAGCCCGCCGCCAGCAACAAGCAGCAGAACGAGGCGGATGAGCTCAAGAAGGCGCTTGAGCTCTGCTCTGCCATCCTCCCCGACGATGCGATGGAGCAGGCCAAGAAGAACTTGGCAGCCAAGACGGAGACGGAGGCCAAGGCCAGGACCCCGTCGCAGCAGGTCCAGTCCACGGCCGCCATCCTGGAGCAGAAGGAGGCGGCGCTCCAGAAGGCCGCGGACGCGCTCGTCAAGGCCGAGGACGCTACCAAGAAGGCGAAGGAGGCGCACGTCTTGGCGGGCACCGAGCTGCTCAAGGCGAAGAAGGACCATGAGGATGCGGTGCAGTCGCTGGCCTCGACGGTGTCCAAGCGCCCCGTGGACGACACCACCACCAGCGACGGCAAGAAGGTCATCTTTGCGTTCGACATGTCCCTCCTCAACGAGGGCCTCGACCAGCTCGACGAGGAGAAGAGGAGGGAGCTGGAGGGCCACCGCGCAGCCCTCGACACCGCCTACCAGGCCATGGTCGCCGAGGACGCCAAGGTCAGGGAGATGTGGGCCAAGATCGAGAAGATCAAGGCGAGCCCGCCCAAGCGGGCGCGGGTCGAGGTCGCCAGCGCGGCTGAGGCCCCAGCGCAGCAGGCTGCCCAGGAGCAGCCAGCGGCCGCAGCGCAGCCGGCCGCACCTGCTGCGGAGGAGAAGCCTGACGTCGCCATGGCGGGCGACGAGGAGCAGGCTGTCGAGAGCATCGCGGTCCCTGGCCTGTACAAGGCCGACCCCGAGCTGCTCGCGGCCACCCTCGAGCAGTCCGTCGCCGACGCCCGCAGCCGCCTGCCCGCCTGGCCCCCGCGGCCCAGCGGCAGCGGAGCAGCGGCCTCCCCTGGCGGCCCAGGCCCCGCGGCGGCGGCAGCGGCCATTGGCGGCGCCAGCGGCGGCCCGCCCCAGGCAGCGGCCGCCCCTGCTCCTGCTGCTGGCGGCGCTGGCAGCGCTGCCAAGCCTGGCGGCGGGGGCTGCGCGGCCTCCAAGGGGCCCCAGCGGGGAGGGCGGTCGTCTCCCTAACAGGGACGCTGCCGACGGAGGCGCAGGAGCCCAGGCTGTGGACGCTCTGAGACAGGAGGCAGCCAGCACGCAGTGGGCCAAGCGGCAGCACTGCACAGACGCGACGGTATTCTTCACCAACATCACGAAGTGGGGCCCGCAAGCGAGAGGCTTCATGCGGGCCCAGGCCGAAAGCTACGACCTCGTCGGCCTGGTGGAGACACATGCTAACGAGAACGCGACAGGCAAGGCGCGCAGCGACTTGTCACGAGATGGATGGAAGCTACTCGGCACACCAGCGAGATTGACGGGACGCTCTGCGACGGGCACCTCAGGAGGCGAGTGGATGGTGGCCAAGAAGCAGATACAGACAACTTCTTTCGAGGCCTGGAGAGAGGCAGGCAGGGGCAAATCTGGCCAGGGCCCGTTTGAGGGGTTCTGCCCGACTTGCTGGCACCTCAAGTCGGGAAACATCGTGATCGTCAGCGCCTACCTCCTCCCGCAGCTCGGGTTCAAGGAGGCCAACCAGCAGACCCTGGTAAGGCTCGGCGCCTTCCTCCGCCAGCTGCGCGACCCCTGGGTGGTCCTGGGCGACTGGAACATCACGCCAGACGAGTGGGACAAGACACAATGGCTTACGAAGCTCAATGCGGAGAGGCTGCTGGCGGAGAATTGCACCGCCACGTGCAACAGGGGCTCGGGCAGCGCCATCGACTACGCCCTGGTCTCCAAGGGCACGGCAGCCCACCTGAAGCTGCAGGCTGTCGAGGAGGTCCCGTGGAAGGACCACGTCGGCCTGAAGCTCACGATAAAGGACGGCAAGCAGAGGTGGTGGCGCAGGAAGCTGGACATCGCGCACGAGCTCCCCACGGTCCCGCGGCCCAAGAAGCAGGCCGACCCGAGAAGCAAGCGGCAGAAGGGCATCCAGAAGGCCAAGGAGGAGAGGCGCGCCAGGCTCCACGAGCACCTGCAGGCCGCCTTCGACGAGATGTACGACGAGCTGGGCGGAGACGATGACGAGAGGGAGGCTGCGCCCACCACGACCTTCAACATCCCAGGGCAAGTGTGGGAAGATGCGAGTGCAGCAGTGGACGTCAGAGGACTGGCCCCAGGAGCGACAGCCTGGGAGAGACCAGCCTCCCCACTGACAGCAACATCGAGAAGCCAAGAGAGCAAGGACCACTTCTTGCTGACGAGGGACCCGCAGGGCCAGCAGAAGATCGACAGCCACTTCGCGAGGTGGATCACGACCCTGGAGCTTGCGACCCTCCAGCACCATGAGATTGACACAGACAAGCAGGACGCCTACGTGGGCAGAGGCAGAGGATATGCCATCAAGTGGGTCAGGACCTCGGCCACGCCGGCGCGAGCGCACCTCCGAGACCCACACCTCGAGTGGTGGCACATCGCGGCGACGCTCCTCAAGCGCTACGAGATGCTCAGGCGCGCCGACAGGATCTCCGAGGCCGCCAGCTGCAACGGCAAGATCGTCGAGCTCATGCAGAAGGCTGAGGAGACGCAGCTCCACGAGGTGTCCAACAAGGACGACGGCGATGAGTTCGGCAACTGGAAGGCCATGATGAGGACGCTGCAGACCCTCCCCGACGAGGACGTGATCCCCATCATCGAGATCAGCGAGAGGTACCAAGGGAGGGCCATCGGGCAGGCGCTCACCAAGTCGAGGAAGGCCTACCAGAGCTGGGCCATCAAGATGTGGAAGGAAGCACCGCGGCACCTCCACAACATGGTCAAGGACCCGAGACCCGAGA